GGTGATAACTAACACCTTGAATCGCACCCGGAAGACCACCGGGAGCCAGTGCAGCTCGCATAGGAGAGGTGTTACATGGGCGTAATGAGCTGCGCCCATAATCACCCACGTGGCTACATTCTGGACCAGTTGGAGCCTCCAGGTGCTTTTCAAGGGGAGCCCCATGTAGAGAGCATTACAGTAGTCCATACGGGAGGTAACTAGGGCATGAGTGACCGTGCGCAAGGCGTCCCGATCCAGAAAGGGATGCAACTGGCGGATCAGGCAAATCTGATAAAAGGCACCCCTGGCCACGGACGTCAAATGATCTTCTAAAGATAGCCGTGAATCTAGGAGGACACCCAAGTTGCGGGCCCTCTCTGTGGGGAGCAAGATCTCATCTCCTATTGTCAGTGATGGTACCAGCTGACTATACCGGGAGGCCTGAAGCCACAGCCACTCGGTCTTGGAGGGGTTGAGTCTGAGCTTGTTTCTCCCCATCCAGATCCGCACGGCCTCCAGGCAATGGGACATCACAGCAAGGGCATCATTGGGGTGGTCTGGGGTGGAGATGTATAGCTGTGTGTCATCAGCATACTGATGAACACTCAACCCGAAACCACGGATGATCTCGCCTAGCGGGTTTACATAAATGTTGAACAGAAGGGGTGAGAGGACTGACCTTGCGGAACCCCACAAATAAGGTGCCTTGAGGTCGACCTCTGCCCCCCTGCCAACACAAACTGCGAACGGTCAGAGAGGAAGGAGGAGAACCACCGAAGCATGGTGCCCCCTATTCCTAACCCCTCCAGCCGGTGCAGTAAGATACCATGGTTGATGGTATCAAAAGCTGCTGAGAGATCTAATAGGACCAGGATAGAGGAGCAACCTCTGTCCTGAGCCCTCCAGAGATCATCCACCAACGTGACCAATGCCATTTCCGTGCTGTATCGTGACCTGAAGCCTGACTGGAACGGATCCAGATAGACAACTTCATCCAGGTATCGGGGTAGTTGTCGCGCCACCACACTCTCAACAACCTTCGCAACAAAGCAAAGGTTGGAGACTGGACGATAATTTGATAATATAGCCAGGTCCAGGGAAGGCTTCTTGAGGAGGGGCTTCACAACCGCCTCTTTTAAGGCGGCGGGAAAGACACCCTCACTCAGAGAAGCATTTATAATCCCCTGGAGCCAGCCTCGTGTAACCTCCCGGGAGGCCAGTACCAACCAGGAGGGACACAGGTCCAATAAACATGTGGCAGCGTTAAGCTTGCCCAGAATCCTGTCCACATCCTCAGGAATCACAGAGTCAAACTCTTCCCAGATAACGCTCTCAAGACCTGCCCCCGTCTCCTCCCCTGGATCTACCCAATCGGAGTCCAGGCCTTCCCGAATCTGAGCGACTTTATCATGCAGGAATTGTACAAAATCCTCAGGTCGACCCTTTAAGGGATCTTCCCGTACCCCCACCTGAAGTAGGGAGTGGGTCACCCTAAACAGCGCGGCTGGGCGGTTCTCTGCAGATGCAATAAGAGCAGAGAAGTAGCTAGACTTATCGCCACTAGGTAGGTCTTAATAAAAGATCTCACCTGTGTTCGGTCAGATTCAGATCGGCTTGTCCTCCAATCGCTCTCCAGGCGTCTTTTCCGACGCTTCATCTCTCTCAGCTCCTCAGAAAACCAAGGAGCTAGACGAGATCGGCATCGGGTCAGAGGCCGCAAAGGCACGACACGGTCGAAGGCCCCAGTAGCCGCCCTGTCCCAGGCGACCACCATGTCCTCAGTCGAGTCGTGAGCCAGAGTCTCAGGAAATGGCCCAAGCTCCATCAGGAACCTTTCGGGGTCCATCAGGCGCTTGGGACGGAACCATTTGGTTGGTTCTGTCTCCCTGTGGTGGGTGGAAGTGACTTGAAAGTCCATGTGAAGGAGAGAATGATCAAACCATGACAAGGGCTTGATGTCTATATCCCCTATTCTTAGATCATTCAGCCACTGATCAGAGACAAAAATCAAGTCCAGAGTGTGATTCCCCAAGTGGGTGGGGCCTTGAACTACCTGGGTCAGGTCCATGGCCATCATGGAAGCCATGAACTCCCGAGCTGTCTCCGACATCTCACCAGCAGATGGTAGGTTAAAATCCCCCATAACAATAAGTCTGGGGGTTTCCACCGCCACCCCGGCTATAATGTCGAGCAGCTCAGGCAGGACCGCTGTTACGTGGCAGGGAGCCAGGTACTCAATCAGTAGGCCCATCTGAATCCCCCGACCCCACTTCATAAGGAGGGACTCACATCCGGCTATCTGAGGAACAGTGGCCTCCCTCGGGCAAAGACTTTCTCTAATGATTGCTGCCACTCCCCCACCCCTTCTTTGAGTCCTTGGCTGATGGAATGCACAGAAACCTGGCGGGCACATTTCCACAAAGGGAACTCCTCCCTCCTGGCCTAACCAGGTCTCCATAATCCCTGCCAGGTCAGCACCTCCCTCTGAAATAAGATCATGAATGAGGGGGGCTTTATTTACCACTGACCTGGCATCACATAACATCAGCCGTAGACCCAGGGTCTGAGACTCTGAACAACTCGGGAAATGAGCAGTGCTTTGGGGGTTGGAGTGGGCAATCGCTCGTAAACATCGAGTGCGCACTCCCGAAACATAATATGGCCCCCTGCAGCCGTCTTATCTGCCCCTCCCACTTACTATACTTTTTTTTTAATTGCAAAAGTTTTACAATTACATTTTCACCCCATTTCCCCCCCATCCCAGCCCCCACGCCCCACCCTAACCCCCCCAAACCCCCCCTAACCCTCCCCCCTGACTTCCACAAAATATAATCCCATCAAAATCCCCTTTTTATAAAACTTGAACCCCTCAGACTCCCTTAAAAATTTTTTTATCTTCACAGTTTTCATACATTTCTATTTTTATATAATACTTTCAATGAAAAACTATTTGGTACTTTCTAACTTGATATTTGTTCTGCACATAATCTATCCATTTTTTCCATTCCCATTCATAAGTCTCTTGTGAGCGATCTTTTAAATATGCTGAAATCTTCGCCATCTCGGCAAAACTGGCCATCTTCAAAGTCCATTCTTCGATAGTGGGTAAAGCTTCATTTTTCCAATATTTACCTATCAATAATCTCGCTGCAGTTATCATGTACAATATCAGCTTAATTTCATCCTGTGTAAAACCCTTTACTATACCCAATATACCCACTTACTATACTAATGCCCATCGCTTCATCCCCCTGCATCCTTGTCAGATTTCTGTCCCCATCCTCCCCACCGTGATCATCAGACCCATTACCCCTTTCAGTGGATTTATGGATCCCCCCAGACCCATTCCCACAATCCCTCCCAGAACCCCTTAAAATAGAACTAATATAATATATTAAAATATGAAGAAGACCTTTTCTTGATGCTTCCATTTTCCTGTGGTTTAAACTGAGATCAGGATGTTAATTTCACAGATCAGGTAAATAGATTAAATCAGAAAGAGACTGAGAATTAAGTCTTTTCTCAAAAAGGAAATTAAATAACAGTCAAATATTTCACAATTTATCTGTGAATATTATTATAAACCTGGTTAAAAGTCTGTAGAAATTCTCAGTCATCCAGATCATGGTTGTCCCAAAGGTGCTTTTTTAAGAGGCAACTGGACTTCCTTGTTTTTTCTTTTGAAAGATGTTTTGAAGACGTTTCGCTTCTCATCCAAGAAGCTTTTTGAGCTCTAAGATGGTTAGAGCTCTAAAAGCTGAAGAAGCTTCTTGGATGAGAGCAGTAGTGGGATTCAAATAATTTAACAACCGGTTCTCTGCCCTAATGATTTCTTCCAACAACCAGTTCACCAAGCTTCTCAGAAAGTTAACCGGTTCTCCTGAAGTGGTGCAAACTGGCTGAATCCCACCACTGGATGAGAGGCAAAACGTCTTCAAAAGAAAAAACAAGGAAGTCCAGTTGCCTCCTGAAAAAGCACCTTTGGGATAAAACTGGTTAATTAACAATCCTGTTGAATCAGTGAGGCAAATGTATCACCATATGGATTTTTTTTTATTTAATCACAAAAAACCACGAGCTCTCTAAATGTTAATTGCAACATCAGAGACATTTTGTTGAGACTTTGGAGTAAAATAATAAAGGGAAATTTCTTCATACCCACCAACCCCTTGCTCCCAAAGTTATCTATGATTCGCCATGTGTTTTCTTTATAACAAAAGAAGTATTGCAGAATATTGTCAGAAATGCAATTAGAGTCTACCTCAGCAACAGGGTACAGCACCTGACTGATTTTGTCTAGATAAGAACTTGCAAGAGGTGAACCAGGATTGAGCCTGATTAGTACTTGCCCAATAGGATACAGAAAACTAGACCAGGAAGTCTAAAAAAAAAAATCCCAGAAGAATCCTTTCTTACCATTTAAGAAAGCAGTCAAGGTGCTGCTTGTTGCTATGTGCCTATACGGTAATAATGACAGTACAGCAGAATTATTTCTACGCCCTTGTTGCATCTGTGACATAACAGTCAGAAGCACAATTTAGATAAGCCCAGACTCTATTAGCAAAAGCTTGGCCAGAAGGTCAGTCAATTAAGCATATTAATATTACTTGCTCTGAGCTGCAATCTCAATCTTTGCTTCTTAAATTGAGCCTATGGCTCTCAAGAGTGGACAGGTTTGAAGCTATCTCTGCCACCTGTAAACATTGCTCACCTGGTTGATACAAGCCACCAGGAAGGGGACAAAGATCTAAGTTTAGAACATAAGAGTTTAAAGTTAAAGAAATATCTTCGACTGTTTCTATCACTGTCCATTAGCAGAATGCATGGTACTTTCTCAGTGTTTTGGACTCTCAACACTCATATCTCCTGATCAGCACATGCGGTTGTGGATTATAAAGTTATCTGGAGAGTACTGGGTTACGGAAAATTGCCTCAATGCATTATGAGGAAATAATTTCTGCAGGGTCAATGAAATGAAAAGGTCAATAGGCATTGCAAGAAACCTATCAGATACTTGCCACCACCATTCCAGGAACAACACCGTGTTTCTGCACCAGAAGAGGAGGTGTTTTATTCAGTGGATTCTCTAGATCATATTTCAGGAAACGGTAGGAATCATGCTTGCTCTGGAAAGGCAGTAAATTATTATATCATTTTATGGAAATGTCCTGTGCGCTTGTCTCATAAACATTTTTTTCTCAAATGGAGAAACAATGCTTCACCATGCAGACAGGGTGAATTGGATATTGCTGAAGCTCTTTCTGATCACAGGTGGGAGACTTATTTTTCTGTCTGCATCACCTCAGTCAAAACTTGTCAGATTTACATTCTGGCTGTGTGCATGGTCAGAGCCCAAAACTGGTGGAAGTGGATAGTTTGTTAAACCCCAAGTCCATATGATAGACCAATGTCTGCATGTAGCTTTTATCTGCAGGTTGCATATTCCAACCAGACAGAAAAGTCTCACAAGAAGACAAAAGCAGTATAGAAACTCACTTCAGAGCCCCTCTATTTTTCTGTTATGGATACCAAATCCTTTTTTCTCTGTATTCCTATGTGAGAAATTAAGATGGTAGCTAAAACTGGTTGCCAGATCGAAAGGTAAAGCTATGGAAAAAAGAACCCAAAAACTAAAAACCAAAACATGAATACAATTAAAATCCCAGATAGCCCATCATTTTTCCTCTTAAAAAAAACAGAAGCTGAGATCAGATGTCTGAAATAAACATAAAGAGTAACTGGAGATAACTATCTCATTTGCCCTTAAAATATAATCTTTTTGTTATGTTAATATATGTTAAGAGGATGGTGAAATTCTCTGAAGAGACATCTATAACTGTTTAATGATTATCACAGCTAAATTAACTTTGATATTCAGAACAAATATAAACCCCAAGTTCCTGAGTTCAAACAAGAGTCAGTAAAACGGCCACTGTTGGGAAAAAAATGGTAGAGAAGATGATTCTTGCCTTGATCTGCTAAGGCAATTTTACTTTAATTAACAGTGGTAACAGATATTTATAATATATAATTTACGACAAATCCCACCAATTCGTTTTGTGGGGGGGAAAAAACAGATGAGAAAATGGATTCAGCTGAGAGGTGTATATTACCTTTTTCATAATCTGACAGCTAATCAGGTTTTTGTGAATAAATTATGGAAATAAAAAAAAATTCTGTGATACAGTTATCTTTCATAATTTACAATGCAATATTATGAACATTTATTTCAAGATAATTTCTGTCATGGCTATTCGGGCTTATTGTTAAAATCTGGCTTATACTGTGTATGTAGTAAACAGCTAATCCTTTCATTTATTTATTTTTTACTTTATTGTCCACACACATGGCCTCAATTTGGGTTGAAACCATTATAATTCAGATTGGAGAGACTTCTTTATCACATTTATTTTATTTCTGAATCTTTTTCCTCCTCCCACTGTCCATCTTATAGGAGTTAAAAGGGGGAAAAAAATTCTCTACTAACGAATGACTCTTGCTTCAGGTTCATGTCCCAGGTATCAATAGCACAAATCATGTGAAGTTGATTAAATAAATAAATAAATAGGCTGCTTTTAATTCTTTTCTGAATCACAAAATAATAGCCTGAGCCAAATTCTGTGGCCAGTGAACTCCCTTATTGGCATGTTGACTGTTACATTACTACTTCAGCTCCATAAAATAGAAACAGTGATTATCTAGCTAAGAAGAATGAACCTGCTTTGGGAAAATCCATGTATAAAGCATCAACATTTAGTTTACCTGAATACAAGGTGAGGGACGGCCATGCTGCATCTTTATGTACAGCTGTTCAACAGACCACTCAAAGAAAGGAGAGTAGGAATGCTTTTGCGGTGACAACACACATATCACAATGACTTGTTGAGGGTCTCTTGGGGCAGTGATGAACTTTTCAAATTCCAAGTCCGTAATTAATGGGATTTTTACTACACATTTGCAACCTAAACCATCATTAGTTTTGGTCAAAACTTTGCGCAGCACAATTGGACAGTCCATAGGAAAAATTGCCCAGGGTTCAGGGGTAGGGCTTACATCTGGGATCTCTTCTTTGGCTCTGTGTGAAGCAGGTGAAGAGTTTAGAAAGAAAAGAATGAGAAAAAAGAAATGGAAAATTAAACAGGTAGGTAATATTTGAAACACAAGACCTGGAAAGCATTCATGTTAGTGCTGTGTACATTTTTCAATACACTTTGAATTCTCTATTCAAAGTATTAATCTGTATTAGAGGTACATTTGGAACACAATAAATGAAAAGCAGATGGTATCTGGACTCTACTCAAATCTTACCTGGACCCTGATTATTTTAACTTCAAATCAGACCCCCCACACACACCCCACCCCATACTGGCATTAAGACATCTACCATTCTCATTACCTCTTCTGGTATTTTCTTTACAATGATTATCTAGTTAAGTGGGATTGTGCAATGCTATATAGTCAAGTGGGAATTATAACACAACAAATGGACATTGAAGCTTATATAGAGAAGATACTGTAGAACTGGTGCATTTGTTCTATCTTAATAATTAGGAAAAAGATTAGGGAAAGAATCAGGAGAAAGAATCCTGCCATTTCACAAAATAGCTGTATAAAACTAGCTTTGCTACAATGATTGTTTCGGTGTACAGGTTTTAGATTTAGATTTAGATTTTATTGAACTTCTATACCGCCCTTCTCCCAAAGGACTCAGGGTGATGTACAGCCATATTAAAACACTTATAAACCACAACATTTAAGAACAATTTAAAAACAAATATATAAAATTTGACCCACAAAATTAAAAACTAACAAACACCCAATTTAAAAATTCCTATTAGGCCAGCCCGGCTTGTTGGAATAAAAGAGTCTTCAGGGTGCGGTGAAAGATATGCAGGTCGGGGATCATACGAACCTCTAGGGCAGCTTGTTCCAGAGGGCTGGTGCCCCCACAGAGAAGGCTCTCCCCCGGGTGTTGCCAGTCGACATTGTTTGGCCGACGGCACCCTGAGGAGCCCCTCTCTGTGGGAGCGTATTGACTGGTGGGAGGCTATCGGCGGCAGAAGGCGATCTTGTATATACCCCGGTCCTAAGCCATGCAGCGCTTTAAAGGTGATAACCAACACCTTGAATCGCCCCCGGAAGACCACCGAGAGCCAGTGCAGCTCGCGCAGGAGAGGCGTTACATGGGTGCACCATGTTGCCTCCATAATCACCCGCGCGGCCGCATTCTGGACCAGTTGGAGCCTCCAAGTGCTCTTCAAGGGGAGCCCCATGTAGAGAGCATTACAGTAGTCTTGACTTATGACTAATCAAAATTATAACAGACTTCCCCAGGGATACTTCCTCTATGACCTAGATTTGAGGTTCTGATGGCCAAACCCCCCTGTTCCATGGTCACATGATCACATTTTGAGTGCTTGGCAACCTGTCTACATTTACAGTCATTTGCCGCACCTTCCAGTCACACGACCACAATTTACAATGGGTTTTTTGGTCAGAAACCAGAGTTTACTTTCAGTTTCTGGCAAAAAAAACCCCACCCATTGGAAACAATGGATTCCTTAATAATAAATTCACTTCATGACTGCTACAAAATAAGGCATAAAATTGGCCATGGCCATGTGGTAACTTCCTTAATGACCGGCATGAATCTTGACCATAATTCCAGGCTCAATTATGGTAGTAAATTGAGGACTACCTGTATTATAATGGAGGGTTGTCTTTGAAAATAGACCGAAAAATATCAGTGAGTCCAGACTCAGTCAATCAAATTTCTTTTCTATTGGAATCAAATTTCAGGTTATTAAATAGCTAGGACTACTGAATACGATATGAGCATATGCAATCCATATTTTCCATATGAACTTGCTGCCAAACTGTTTCCATTCTAAATTCAAAATGCTGGTATTAATGTTTCAAGCCCTAATTGATTGGACTTGTATCCTTTGAAATAATTCTTCCTTCTACAATAACTTTGGAAATTGGACAACTGCTTATATATCTTTGATACCAAAAGAACAAGTTGGTCCTAAAAAACCAGAGAACTACAGACCAATATCTCTTTTGAACACAGACTATAAAATTTACGCGAAGGTATTAGCCAACAGGTTGATGCCAGTAATCCAAAAGGTGATTCATGAGGACCAAGCGGGATTTATTGAGGGTAGATACATGAAGGACAATGTAAGGCAAGTAATAGACTTATTGGAATATCTTGATAAGAATAAACAGATTTCTGCAGTGCTGGTCTTTTTGGATGCGGAGAAGGCCTTTGATAGAGTGGATTGGAATTTTCTACTAAAGACTTTAAAAAAGATGGGCTTTGGGGACCAGTTTACACAGGCAATTTCAGCAATTTATCAAGAGCAAAAAGCACAGATTATTATTAATGGAAGTTTGACGACAGAGTTTAAAATTGAAAAAGGAACAAGACAGGGATGTCCGTTGTCCCCACTTTTATTTATTTTAACATTGGAAGTCTTGCTAAATACAATACGGGACTCAAAAATTTTGAAAGGCATAATGATAAGGCAAGAGGATTATAGAGTAAAGGCATTTGCAGATGATCTGGTGGTTACCCTATCACAACCAATGGAATCAATAATCTTGATGAACGACATTATACAAGACTATGGTAGAGTTTCAGGTTTCAGAGTGAACTCAAAAAAGACTAAAATGATAGTCAAAAATATGACACAAGATCGTAAACATGAGTTTGAAAGGAGGGCAGGTTTTGAAATTGTACCTAAGGTAAAATATCTTGGAGTTCAGGTTGCAGAATCAAACATGAAATTGTTTCAAAATAACTATGAGGTGTTGTGGCGAGAGGTTCAGAAAGACATGGGGACTTGGAAAAAGCTGCAACTGTCTTTACTTGGAAGAATAGCAGCAGTTAAGATGAACATTTTGCCAAGATTTCTGTTTTTGTTTCAAATGATTCCGGTGCTTAAAAGTGATAAACAACTGAAAGTTTGGCAAACTGGACTTAATAAGTTTGTCTGGAACGAGAAAAAGCCGAGAGTGAAATTGAAAATTATGCAAGATGTTCCAGAAAGAGGAGGCCTTAAACTTCCAAACCTACAGTTATACTATGATGCAGCAGCTTTAACTTTAACAAGTGATTGGTTTGGAAGTAAAAAGGCTGGAATATTGAATGCAGAAAGTTTTGATCTTGAATTTGGATGGCATGCTTACCTATTTTATGATGACAAAGTTGATAAAGTATTTAAAAGTCATATACTTAGAGACTCTTTGATGAGAGTTTGGAAGAAGCACCGACTCAAATGGGATTATAAAATACCGCTATGGCTGGATCTTGGTCATACCTTGTGGAATACAAATATAATGTCACTCGGGGGGTTTTTATACAAAGAGGTTCTTTTTACAGATGCGGGCAGATGGCAGTTGAAGACATTGCAGACACTGTTGGACGAAGGGATTAATTTAACCTGGTTACAATATAATCAATTACAATTGAGATGGAAAGAGGACCAAAAAACTGGTATTATGTTGCATGAGGAAGAATTGGTTAGACATATAAGAGAGAAAGGTCCAATGCATATTAAAAGGCTTTACAATGTTTTGCTAGAAAGGGATTCAGAAACGGAATTAGTTAAAGATTGTATGATTAAGTGGGCACAAAATTTTGAAGAACCAGTGATGTTGGAAACATGGGAAAAAATTTGGGTTCAGAATGTTAAATTTACACAGTCGCAGAATTTGAGGGAAAATTTTTATAAAATGTTTTATAGATGGCATCTAGATCCTAAAAAGCTGTCATGTATGTACCCTAATGTTCAGCCAAAATGTTGGAGATGTGAATGTTTGGATGCTACGTATTATCATGTTTGGTGGACCTGTAGGAAAGTTAAGGCTTTTTGGATAAAAATATGGTGGGTCATGCAGAATGTTTTGAAGAAAAAAATTCAATTTTCTCCACAATTGTTTTTATTGGGCATAGTTAAGGGTTTTACACGGGATGAAACAAAATTAATATTGTATATGATAACAGCAGCAAGATTGTTGATAGGTAAATATTGGAAGAATGAAGCTTTGCCTACTATCGAGGAATGGACTTCGAAGATGGCTAGTTTTGCAGAGATGGCGAAGATTTCAGCATATTTAAAAGATTGTTCACAAGAGACTTATGAATGGGAATGGAAAAGGTGGATAGAATATGTTCAGAACAAATACCAAATTAGAAAGTATCAAATAGCTTTTATTTGAAAACAATGTATTAGAAATATTTTAATATAAAGAGACAAAGAGGGAAAATTATGTAGGGGGAGGGATGGGTTCAGGTATATATATCAGTGTTATTACTTATGAGTACATAATAGGGAAGTCTGGGGGGGGAGGGTTAGGGAGGGTTAGGGAGGACGGGAAGTTTGGGGAGGGAGGTGGGGGGGTGAAAAAAAGGGGTGAAAATGTAATTGTAAAACTTTTGCAATAAAAAAAAAAATAACTTTGGAAATTTTCTTTGATGCCCATATTGAATGAGTGCAGCCATGTCTGACAGACAAGGCCTTCTCTGTCTTTGAAATATTCTGCCCAGAGAATCAACATCAGACAAAGCTTTCCCTTTTCCTGGTATTTTTTAATATTAAGCTATTTTAGAGGTTTTTAAAAATTGCTTTACTTTTATCAGTGCTTGTGTTGCTCATATTTTATATACTAGCCTTATTACTTTTCAGAATCTAATATAGACCCCAAGCAGTTATAAAATGATTGGATATAAAAATAGTTCCACCACTCACTAATCCAAATCAAATTTTATAGTGATAATTATCAGCGATAGGTAATGGATAGGTCATATTATGTTTAAGTTTTCACTATGGGTTTATTTTTATAGTATTAAATTATTTTAACCATCCAGGGGATATTTATTATAAAGTGTAGCATAAAACATATTGCCCTTCAATCATACCACCCCAGTAATTACAAAAATAGTCATAGCTAAAAAACAAATCTGATGCATTTACTGAGAGACACATATGCATGTAAACTAAAAGCTACTACATTAAAGCAGTATTTTTGAACTGTCAGGCAGCTTTTGGGCTAACAAAAGGGCAATAAAAGTTATATAAGGCATTTTTAGGGAGAAAATGCCCTATAACTAGGGTGCCATTAGTGAAAAGCTGCCTGAAAGCTTGCTGAAACCAAGAAGACAATAACACCCACAACAGATTCATTCTTATCCAATCTTATTTTAAGTCACATCTCTGCCTATTACTTATTCCAGTCATTTAATACATTTTTTTTCAAAAAGCTTCTCCCCCCCCCACCTGAGAGTTACTCTTAGGAGTAATTTATTTGGGACTGCTTGCCAATGAACAATGAAGCCAAAGCCAAACTGAATGGGGCCACTTTTTATTTTTCTGGACACTCTCTTTTCTGTCTTTCCATTTTTAACTCAATGTGAGAAGCTGCCAGAAAAAAGGCAAATGACTCTAAATTAATTAAGAGCAGTGATGGCTCAGTGGTTAGAATGCAGTACTGCAGCCTATTTCAGCTGATTGCCGGCTGCTTGCAATTTGCCAATTCCAATCTCACCAGGCTCAAGGTTGACTCAGCCTTCCGTCCTTCCGAGGTCAGTAAAATGAGGACCCAGATTGTTGGGGGCGATATGCTGACTCTGTAAACTGCTTAGAGAGGGTTGTAAAGCACTGTGAAGCGGTATATAAGTCTAAATGTTATTGCAATTAATGCTTTGCAGTAAAGCCCAAGGGTTGTATGTGGTCCTAAGTCTATAAGCTGTATATTCCTGAAATAGTTTGTAAAATTCTACACTAGTGTTTGTAGTTTCTTTTGATTTTCACTGATCTGATCTATCTAATTTGGAGTTCTTATCTTCTTTTGAATTTGTCTGCTTATACATCACAAGCTTAAAACCAGTCTAAGATATGTTGCTGCTCCCAATTGTTGCTTCAAAGGATAAAAAGATATCCCTTTCCCATAACATATATAATCAGATCAGAATTGGAAGATTTCTTCAATGTCCAGTGAATAGATAACATTTCCCACTACACTATGTGGCAGCACGCTGGCTTAGAGGAGGTGATATAGAAATGACACATCTGTCCTTCAGCATCTCACCATCATTTTGCAATTCAATGGCATTAACATCAATATGTATAACTTGAGTAAAGCAAAATATATATGGCGCTGTCTATATGCCAGCTTGCTCAGAATGTTTTCCAAGTAGTGTCACTTAGGAAACATGGAAAGAAATGAAAAGGAGGATCAGCAGGAAGGATGGACCCAATTACAGTGAAAATGGGTACACTATTGGAAGGTCTGAAAGATCAGGTTGATGACAGATCTCCTTGCAGAAAATTTACAGTATCTATGTGGCTTCTATAATTCAACACCAACTTGATGGTACATAATCAATACAAGTTAGGTGCAGAAATAAATAAAACAGCAAGCCACAGGCCCAAAGTAAGCAAGCACGGTCACCATTGGTATGTCTTCTGAGGAGCATGAAAAGCACCAGAAGTCCAGAAGGCACCTCTGAGACATCTTTAGTAACATCTGCAGGATCCAGCACTTTTGTCAATGTGACAAAAACAGCCTCTCACCATTGCAGTACAAACTTGACCCCCTTTGTACATGCCTGCCACATCAAGACACAGGTACAAAAGGGATATTTGCTTCATGATGCTTCTTGTATCATATGGTTCTGTACTTGTATCATTAAAAGCCTTGGTGGCGCAGCGGACTAAATGCTGTTAAAGTAGCACTTAGTTGCCAGCTGCCTGCAATTACTGCGAGTTCAAATCTCACCAGGCTCAAGGTTGACTCAGCCTTCCATCCTTCCGAGGTAGGTAAAATGAGGACCCGGTTGGTGGGGGCAATAAGCTGACTTTGTATAAAATAGGACACTGCTTAGGGGGGGCCAAAAAGCCTTACTAAGCAGGTATATACAAAAGTATAAAGGCTATTGCTTAATGCATTGTAAGCCACCCTGAGTCTCCGGAGAAGGGCGGCATATAAATCGAACTAATAAATAACTAATAAATAAATAAATAAATTTGGCCCTCCTCACCCTCTCAATTAGCCTTTTTTAATTGACTCCAATGTTTCTATTTTACAAGGAGCATATTGTTATCCCACCTATTTAATCTTGTTTTTCAGAGAATTCCCTCCTCCAAAAGATTGTCCCACTTACCGTGAGGGAGGCCTAAATTTTCTCTTAAGTGGGTGATAACTGGGTAAGCTTGTTGGCCTGACAGCTCGTTTCTCTTTTGGTTTTGAAACTGAAGCCATAGCTTCTTCTCTTAGCTTTCGATCCCAGGTCTGTAGTGGCGATTCCGCTTTTTTACACTTCACAGGTTTTGTACGAAACTCAGGTGGATAGTCTATGCAGCATATTCCTGCCAATCAACAGATTATCAGGCAGATTATCAAGATTATAACATATTTTTAAAATTATTGTAAAGGTAATAACAATGTGATAAAAAATAACAATGGTAGCAATAATGATCAATTACTTTTCACAGATATACAGGGTAGTATAGAAGTTAGTAAAAGTAAATAATCCTTTGGATTTTATTAGCGCAAAAGATTGTTCTTTTAAAAGTCCTTCTTGGGCTTTCAAAGAATTTGGTTGTGCTTTTTCTGATCCAAACTCATTTGGGCAAATAGTTAAATACCATATTTTCCTAGCTATCTGAATACAGAGAAGCTAATTTTATATAAATGTCTTCCGGGATATATACCTGTACATAACAATATATACCTATACATAAAATGCTACACGTATGTGTTACATATCTAACACACACATATATAACACATATACATATATATATATAAGAGTCTACTGATCGAGTTCCAGACTGCCATGCTTGTGACACAAGGATGCCAGTCACTGCATATACTAAGTGAATGTCAATCTGTCTCTAGTCTAATGCTATATACAACAATTCTTACTAAATTGATGCCTTCCATATGGGATAGAGATTATGCATCTTGGATTTCAATCATATAAGGCAGGGGTCTCCAAACCTTGGTCCATGGACCACCAGTACTAATCTGTGGCCCAATGGAACTGGGTCGTGCAAGAGACAGGTGAGCGTGTGAAGCTTCATTTGCTCATGCACGGGATTAGATTGCTTGTGCAAAACCATCCTCTTCCCTCCATCACCACCACTGCTGGTCTGTGGAGCCAGAAAGTTTGGGGATCATTGATACAGTATAAGGGACACCTAATAAAGAAATACTGGTCTATATTGAGAAGTAATAGCTTCAGGACTTTTTGAGTCATACCAAGAAATGCTAAAGAATGATTTTAGACTTTAGATTTGTATGTCAATCTACGCTCTAACATTGAACTGTGGTCCCTCCCAAATAGCAAAGAATACTTTCGAGTACAAAGGATGTTCGTATACCAGATATTTGCAAAAACTCCTTAAAACAATGATGTTTTTCTGGGATAATCTGGGAGGTGGTTTAAGGAGTTGCAGGAAGGTTCACCATCATGTGTACACTCAAGATGTACCTTATCTAAGATGCATTTCTAACTTTTCACAAATATTATTTCTAGGTAAATATGCCTACAACTCAGTGGTTGGATTCAAAAATTTTTACTACCGGTTCTGTGGGCGTGACTTGGTGGGCGTGGCATAGCTTGGTTTGGCTTGGTGGGCATGACAGGGGAAGGATACTGTAAAATCTCCATTCCCACCCCACTCCAGGGGAAGGATACTTTAAAATCTCCATTTCCTCCCGATGAGCTGGGACTCAGGAGGCAGAGAATAGATGGGGGCAGGGCCAGTCAGAGATGGTATTTACCAGTTCTCCAAACTACTCAAAATTTCTGCTACCGGTTCTCCAGAACTGGTCAGAACCTGCTGAAACCCACCTCTGCTACAACTGTCTTGTTATCAAAGTTATAACAATTACATAAGCAAGACTTCCACTGTTCTTGCCAGAAAGATCTGAGAGGCAATGCTTCCTATCTCTCAAGACAAATATCTTAGCAAGATGGAATCTATCTTGTCCATTGGATAAAGAAGCTACAGATGTATGTTATCTATCATCCATATGAGAAAGAACATTAACATCTCATCTAGTATTCTTTTTTTCCCCTTTCCTTCCTTACAATGCCTATTTATATTCTATGTGAAAACTAGGGCTGTCCTACAATTAATGTTTAGAAGCCTTTTCCAGCTGAAGGAGAAGGACTACAAAAATATCTACTTTTGTAGTCCTCCTTCCTGCAGCAACAACTACAAATGTTATACGAACAATTCAAGCACAAAACCCAGAAGGAATCGGTTTAGTAATTCTCAATGTTACTTCAGATAAACAGTTTGGAATGCAGGATTTGACCACTGGTCATATTTCTCTGTGTCATTTTATCATTTCTGAAATTTTTGAAATTCTGAAAATTAAGACAATGTCATATTCGTACCATTATTCATTTCCTTTCAAATTTAATTTTTATCACCACTCTGTTATTATGAAGGAGAGGGTATATATTTGTATGAGACAGCACATGACTATACACATTAATTAATAAAGCAGTGTGAATTTCATAAACTCAGCATAATGACAATACCTGAAATCATCAAAACACTGTTTATAAATTGTTTTATAGTTTTCTCAAACCTCTTCTTAATGTCAATAAGGCTTCTTCTCCAATGTTCTTTCTCATCAGCTTCAATGCTTTTTACAGTCAACTTTGGAAAGGAAAAAGGGACATGAGAATTATTTTATAAAAATACTGCATTATGGCATCTGGAAATCTAAGCAGCCATCGTGTACAATAGCAGAATCCAGTGACTTTTCAGACCAAGGATTGGATTTCATTTATTTTTTCTTAGCTATGACATCATATGTGGTAAGACCCAGCCAAGAAAAGAAAAAAAAAAAAAGAAAAGAAAAGAGCAGCACAGCGCAGCGCAGCGCAGCACAGAGAAGAGAAGAGAAGAGAAGCGAAGAGAAGAGAAGAGAAGAGAAAAGTCAATTACGTTAATAAGAAAATATTACTAAGAAAATATTGCAAGAGTATCTCCCTCCAAAAACAATTAAGCCTTAGATTTTTATTATATTCTTAATAAAACCTACACTTTAAGAGAGCTGAAATAAGTGAAATATTATTAAGATAGGTTAGTGGACAAAACCATTATGTGGGGGTTCTCCAGGTTCAACCTCCGGAATGACCAGTTAAAAATATAAAATAGAATGGAATGGAATGGAATGGAATGGAATAGAATAGAATAGAATAGAATAGAATAGAATAGAATAGAATTTTTTATTGGCCAAGTGTGATTGGACACATAACCTAATCTTGCGTAGCTTCTTCTCTGGTAATGTTGTACTACTAACTAGAGCATACAAAACATTTGCTAGACCAATTCTTGAATACAGTTCATCTGTCTGGAACCCGCACTGCATATCGGACATAAATACAATCGAGATATTTTACGAGAAGAGTCCTCCATTCCTCTAACCGCAATAAAATACTTTATGCCACCAGACTTCAAATTTTGGGCTTAGACAACTTAGAACTACGCCGACTACAGTCTGACCTAAGCATAGTACATAAAATTATCTGCCACAATGTACTTCCTGTCAATGACTACTTCAGCTTCAACCACAACAATACACCAGCAAATAATAGATACAAATTCAAGGTAAACCGTTCCAAACTTGATTGCAGAAAATATGACTTCAGTAACAGAGTGGTCAATGCCTGGAATGCACTACCTGACTCTGCAGTTTCTTCCCCAAACCCCCAAAATCTTAACCTTAAACTGTCTACTGTTGACTCCCCTCATTCCAAAGAGGTCTGTAAGGGGTGTGCATAAGAGCCTTGGTAGTACTAGGGTTTAAGGCACCCTGTTATTAAGCTGCTTAAGACCAGCTGCCTGCAATTACTGCAGGGTTCGAATCTCGCCAAGGCTCAAGGTTGACTCAGCCTTCCATCCTTTCTAAGGTAGGTGAAATGAGGACCCAGTTTGTGGGGGCAATAAGCTGACTTTGTATAAATATACAAAAAGGATGAAGGCTATTGCTGAGCACATTGTAAGCCGCCCTGAGTCTTCGGAGAAGGGCGGCATATAAATCAAAAAAAAAAAAAAAAAAAAAGTGCACCAGCGTGCCTACCGTCCCTGTCCTAATATTCCTTTTTACTTACTCTTTTCATGTATTCAAATTATGTTTATACTTTTACCTGTTATCTTATATATGCCTGACAAATAAACTTATGACAAGGAGAGCATACGCTCTCAATGTACATAAAAGAAAAGATACGTTCATCAAGAATCATAAAGTACAACACTTAATGATAGTCATAGGGTACAAATAAGCAACCAGGAAACAATCAATATCAATATAAATCATAAGGATACAAGCAACAAAATTACAGTCATATAGTCATAAGTGGAAGGAGATGGGTAGTGGGAACGATGAGAAGATTAATAGTAGTGCAGACTTACTAAATAGTTTGACAGTGTTGAGGGAATTATTTGTTTAGCAGAGTGATAGTATTGAGTTTTGAGCACCATGTAAGAAATAAGACCTCAGATAAACCACTGCTTATCAGATTTCGCAATGAATGTTACCAGAACTGAAATCTCATAGTCATTCTGCTCATTCTGAGACATGGCATGATAGAGAGTTGCCAGTAATAGCAGAAGCACTTAGACTTATATACCACTTCACAGTGCTTTACAGCCCTCTCTAAGTGGTTTACAGAATCAGCATATTGCCCCCAACAATCTGGGTTTTCATTTTACCCACCTCGGAAAGATGGAAGGCTGAGTCAACCTTGAGCCTGGTGAGATTTGAACTGCCAAATTGCAGGCAGCCAGCAGAAGTAGCCTGCAGTACTGCATTCTAACCACTGCGCCACCACGGCTCTTTAGTAATACTATTAATTGATCATTAAAAGACTCAGTTTACTTTCCATATAGATCCGAAGTTATCTCTGTAATTCCTGGTGCTGGAGTAAAATAAATAATTCTGTGCTAGAAGGAGCATAAAAGAGTCTTGCCTATTTTGTGCAATAGATCTGTAACGAACAATAGCAAAAGAGCTGTTATTCAGCTGTCACACTGAGCAAAAAGACATCTGTACTGAAATCTTTCTTATTGGGTTTTTAAAAAAATCACCTTTATTTAGATTCTTCAAAAAACAAAACCTTATAAAATTGTGTGCTTCAGCTACAAGCTGTCTAGTATAGGAACGGGGAACATTCTCTTTTTTCTAATAGCAGCTTGCTTGATAGCAGCGTTTTCCCTCTGCTGAAAAGGTGTACATGTTTGGAGGGTCGAGACCAGGGGTGATATGCTACCGGTTCGGGCCGGTTCACCCGAACCGGTAATTAAAAGTGCTATTGGTTTGCCGAACCAGTAGTAAAAAAAAAAAATCTAAAAAAAAAAGTTCTGACAATCAGCTGAGTGACGTGTGATCGTTGGAACTTTTTTTTTTAACTTTTTAAACATTTTTTTACTACCAGTTTGGGAAAATAGGTAGTAAAAAAATGCTTTAAAAAAGATTTTAAAAGCCTTGGACGATCACATGGCACAGCTGTGATCATCTGAGCCTTTTTTTTTTTACTTTTTTAAAGCATTTTTTTACTACCTATTCGCCCGAACTGGCCGTAAAAAATGCTTTTAAAAAGTAAAAAAAAGGTTCTGAAGATCACAGCTGTGGCGCGCGACTGTCGGAACCTTTTTTAAAAAACTTTTTTAAAGCATTTTTTTACTACCTATTCGCCCAAACCGGTAGTAAAAAATGCTTTTAAAAAGTAAAAAAAAGGTTCCCAAGATCACGCGCCACAGCTGATTCTCCTCCTTGCTATTCTACTTACCTTCCCAAGCCTCCTTTTGGCATGTACTGCCCAGCACACATGTAGTGCGAACTGCGTAAGCGCACCCAGTAACAAACCGGTTCAGATTTCACCACTGGTCGAGACCAATTTTCAAGGAGAAAAGTCTCTCATCTTTTCTCCTTGAAAATAAACATCCCACACCTTTACTTTCACTCTAATTTTTAGCAAGGAACAAGAGAGAGGATTGGAAGATAGCAAGAATGAAGAAAAAAATGGAATGAGTGATTGTATCTCATCTTTACACATTTCGCATATAAAAGCACCTTTTTAAAACACAGATATGGCCAGATCCATGTGTTCAAAATGCTCTTCTCTCCACCCCTGAGCGTATAAATCTTTTGAAAGCGCCAGTCCTGCTGGATTTCCCACTTTCAGAGCATTCCTGAACTGTCTTGAAAGGGCAGTTGAAGTGCTCGAAATTGCCAGATACAACATGGGGCCACTTACATACATACATACATACATTGCATACGTGAGGATTTCATCTTCAAACCATTTTTCATTTCCTTAATGCTTGGACCCATAGGTTTTCTTTGTTTCTGCTTAACAAAAGCCATTTAAAATGTATGTTTTTGCAGTGTGTCTGTTTGCATGTCTGGGTGGGGGATAAATATAAAAGCAGTAGGAGATGGAGAAGGAAATGACAAGCGACGATGACTTCTTAATCTAAAGAATGGGCCAATTAGCACCACGTGGCTGATAAATATGTCATTCAGCCACCCTGTGAAGGCATCCAGTGGAGTCATAAAACATTTTAATGCAAAGGCTGTCTTTCCACAAAAGTGCATCCACACTGTATAAATATTTTGGGGGAAGGGACCTAGCAATTTCCTTCTGGAAAGAAAGTTGTCCTTACTGCCGGTTTCGGCAAAGTTCCTGGGGGTGTTCTTTCAAAGGTCAATGGAACTCCAGGGAAGCAATTTGAAAAGAGTCAAATGCAGTGTGCATTGTATACAGAGGGGGTGTAGGGGGAGAAGGGAACAAGATGGAATGAGGTATAATTTGCCTATCGCTTTTATAGAATTCAGTTTTGCTGGTAAGCAGAAAAACTGGGTATAAGGTTATAACAGTATGATACTGTAATGAAATATAATAATAAGTTTTATTCAAGCATTAGAAGACAGGAATCACCTTAGCACAGGGGTCTGCAACCTTAAATACTCAAAGAGCCATTTGGACCGTTTCCCACAGAAAAGAAATCACCGGGAGCCACAAAACCTGGGTGGGCGTGGCCAACTCAACGTCACTCACTCCCACCCAGTCACATGACACACACATCCCCCAGCCATGCTTACCCAGGTTTTGTGGCTCCTGGTGTTTTCTTTTCTGTGGTATACAGGTATCTCTCTCTCTCTCTCTCTCTCTCTCTCTCTCTCTCTCTCTCTCTGTCTCAGCCACAGCAGGAGGACAAAAGAGTCGCATGCGGCTTTGGAGCCGCAGGTTGCAGACACTTGCCTTAGCATGATACTCAATCATGCTTTCTATTATCTGTTAGCATTGGTGCCTTCTTTGTTTCAACTTAATATGGTACAGGCAGTACAGGCAGTCCTTGACTTATGACCATAATTGAGCCCAAAATTTATGTTGCTAAGTGAGACATTTGTTAAATGAATTTTTCCCCATTTTATGATCTTTCTTGACACAGTTGTTAAGGGAATCACTGCCGTTCTTAAATTAGTAACACGGTTGTTAAGTGAATCTGGCTTCCCCATTGACTTTCCTTTTCAGAAGGTCGCAAAAGGTGATCACATGATCCCAGGACGGTTATAAATATGAGTCAGTTGCCAACCGTATGAATTTTGATCACACGACAATGGGACTGTTGCAATAGTCATAAGTGTGAAAAATGGTCATAACTCACTTTTTTCAGTGCCGTTATAACAGTCACTAAGTGAATTATTGTAAGTCGAGGACTACCTGCACTCTTCCTTCTCCCACTTTCCCTACAAATCCATCCTGTGAGATAGGCTGGCTGAGAAATACTACCTGGCCTAAAGTCACCCAGGGACCATTCATAACTGACAGTAAATTTGAACTAGAATCTGTTCTGACCCAGCCTTAGCAAGTACCGTATTCTTCGGAGTATAAGATGCACCGGAGTATAAGACGCACCTTAGTTTTTGGGGAGGAAAATAGGGGGAGGGAATTCTGCCTACCAGGTATTCATCTGGCTAGTCCTTAGTCTGTTCAGCTTCAGCACATTAGTTTGCTCACTGGTTTTGAGGCTGGAGCTGGTTGGGGCTAAAAAACAGCTTCAAAAGCACAGCTGATCATCGGAGGGAGCTCCAGTGACTAAAGTGGGCAAAGCGCAGAAGAGATAAAAGAAGGCAGCAGCTGTTCTGGATAGCCATTTTGGGCATCACGCGTCGCATTTTCAGCCTCCAAATGCGTCACAATTTCAGAAGGTGATTGGCGGCAACGTGCTTTGGCGATCCCCGCAGCCTTGAAGGGCTCTCAAATGGAGTGTTTGGAGACTGAAAACGCGATACACAGAGCCCAAAAACACAAGCCATTGTCGGTGGCAATCTCTGCAGCCAGGAAGAGGACACATGGAGGCCGAAGGTTGGGGGCCGGCGGGTGGGCGGGTTCACATTTGGAGTATAAGACACACCCAAATTTTCAGCCTCTTTTAGGAGGGAAAAAAGTACATCTTATACTCTGGAAAATACGGTAATGATAAGCCACTTACTCATGAGTAAAAACAAACTCCTTTTCAAACAGGGTAGGAACAGTCTTTTATTCACGTGGATAAACAAAAACAAACATAATTAGTCCCAGCAAACCTGGTTCTGGCCAAGGAATGTGAATTGCTTGCTGTATACGAGAAAATGAACAGTTGTCTGTGACAACCAGCCACTCCCAAAGCCCTACTAGTTATTTCCCAGCCAGGGAGGGGCTCGCTAGCGTCCACATCTGCTTTTCCCTGAGAGCCAGCTTATTGCTTTCCTTTGCTCTCCTTTCCTCTCTGCGCATACGTGCATCTGGGATGTGTCCCATCTGTTGTTCCCCCTCATTCAGCTCAGGCCCCAAAGACAGCTGCCTCTCCACCTGGGGGAGGACGGAAGGCCCCAGCTCTGCCTCTGTCTCTGTTTCCTTATCAGAGACTTCCAAAGCCTCCGAAGCTGGCCCAGGCTCCCCCACCACTTCCTCCTTGTCTGACTCTGCAGCTAGCTCTGCTGGCAGCCAACAGGCCACAACAGGATCTTTCCAATGCTACTTCAATGCTTTCTCGACTGGGTCTCTCCTAGTAGGTCATTGGAGACACAAAATGGGCAAGCAGAAATTCTCCTGACATTTTATTAGGGTTACAGAATGCAGAGAGATCTTGTTATTGTGCCAGCCCTTTATTGGAAATCAACCCTCTGTTTAAAAAACAACAATAAACACTGGGGGTGCTTTCATTAGGTGATTGGTACCTGCTTATCAGCTTTGCATCCATGCAGACATCCAGGTCTTATCAAAGATAAGGTGATGGTTTCATTCAAGGCAGCAAAAGTAATGGTCATGGAACTTTGGCTAAGAACCTTTAATTTTAACTGTTCATTTATCTAAGAAATAAAAAACAAAAGATAAATCAAAATCATGGGGCAGATTCATACAGGACTGATACTTTCCCACTGATTTCATGTCTGACAGTTTTCTTAACTGGACTAGCAAAGATGCACATAGGCTGAAACTGACACATGCATTTACATCCACAGCAAACACAATCTGAGACAAATGGAAACTTCGAGTCTACACTAGATATTACATTAATTATACTGATGGTGGTATTACCTGGCCAACTTTGTCTAGACTGGAAACCTAAGCACCACCGTACCTGGTTAGTATTTCAGTGTGGAAAATCTAGGAAATATATTTTAGGCTGAGATGATGTTGTTGGTGATGATGATGATGATGATCTACATCCTGGAAAGGAAAAAGTGGCAAACTCCTTCTAAACTACTGTCAAGAAATTGCACTGCTGTGTTCACGTGGTTAACCAGGAATTGACCTTGGCTTGAGAAAATCTTAAACTTTTTAATTAATGAGTGACAATGTCTGTGAAGACATTCTTCACAATGTACAAAACGCTCTCATTGGTGTCAATAGAGGCTTTGAAATAAAAACAATCATTTTGCTCTAAAGGTCATGAAGCCCCAGATTTCATATTCATATTAGAAATGTCAGGAAGCAAAAATAAACATCACACGACCCTATGGAACACTTTGCTTTTTTAATCACTTCTTGTACCATGGGTAGTATTGGGAAAGGAAGAATAAATCTCAAGCTCCCATGCAAAAAGACCTGCAAAAATCCAAATGAGAACTAATTAGCAGCAAAAGTGAGAGGGTTCTGTAACTGTGGCCACTTTATTTCACTGTAATCTACTGTCTGTCTGTCTGTCTGTCTGTCTGTCTGCCTGCCTGCCTCAAATTCTGTTTTGTCAATGCATTTTTTTTGTAAGGGTCCAATTCTTGAGAACAAGTATTACCATATGGTAGTAAGGACACATATTTTAAAAACATGTTTCAGTGTCTGGTGGCCAGTAGTGGGATTCCAGTAATTTAACAACCAGTTCTCTGCCCTAATGATTTCTTCCAACAATCAGTTTGCCAAACTGCTCAGAAAGTTAACAACCGGTTCTCCTGAAGTGGTGTGAACTGACTGAATCCCACCACTGCTGGTGGCAATGCACAAGGGTCTAAAATGTGGAAGTAGTAACTACAAAGAATCAATCCGAATACATCAGGGATGTCAAACTCATGGCCCGTGGGCCAGATGTGTCACGCACTGGCCATGCCCATGCCCGGTTTAGCAAAGGGGGAAAAAGTTGCGATACATCACATGACACTGCTGTGACGATGTGTGTTTGACGCCCCTGGAATGCATGCTCTCTGGTATTTGTAGAATCTGAACTCAATTGAAGTCATGACTGACCTAAAAACTGTACAGTAATTGTTTAAAAGTGCCAAAGCAATGGGGGTGTCTCATTAGCAAGAATCCAAATTCATACCTGAAAATCTAATGACTGTAGAACTTCTTTTCTGGAATACCAGTTCCAGCGATGGGTTAAATTGCCATATTTGTCTCTAACTATCCCACCTGACTGATTCATCAGTAACGCCACAGAAAAGCTAAGTAAGGGGAAAAACAGTCAAGTCACAGCAAATAACACTATAAAGTTGCTGCTGAAGATGTTAACCAGTAATATTTTTGGCTTTTCTCATTGCAAAAATATTATATGCATAATAAATATTGAGGAATTCAGTGGTCCTAAGCCCAGATTTCTGCCTCAGTGGATTGCTCTATTATACTGTATTTTTTATCCATTTAGTGTCCTTACAATACAACATAGCTATGATCAAGGGTGTTGGCTCCTATACATGGTGATGCCAAAATGGCAAAACAAAAGAGGTGATATCATGACACAGGCTCTGCCCTTTTGTATTTGTGATGTGATTACACACAAGTTCATACAGGATGTAATTTGCATCATGATGTATATTGCTCTCCTATCTACAGTATGGTCGTGATAGAATTATACCATGGTAGCTGAGTTCTTGCAAATATGAAGACTACGCAGTACACATATTTTAATATCATTGCACAATAGTGAATGTTGTTGTTAGATAAAATTGCAGTTAAAATAACACATTTCTATCTGAAGTGAGGTCTTAATAGATGTTTCAAAGCCCCATTTCTATCTGTTCGAAGAACAAGTGTCATGAATATATATGCTAAACTCAAAATTGAGTTCCTCAGACTTTTAACTTATCTAACCCACCTAATGTTATATCTCCTTGAAGAAGCAGGATTTCCACTTATACTACCTAGCTCCCACTTCTTCTCTGTGGGGTTTCCCAAATTCCCTCAATTGTTGTGTACTCAGTGCTCTTTATTTCTCAGGAAATGTCTCATGCCATCATTTCAGGCCAAATTTTATGTTAGTCTCACACATACCACTTCTGAAATGTATTCCAATTGCTCATCACTTTGTTGACCTTTTTCTCTCCTAGTTACACCATGTGGCATCATCATTAATTACACCCAGTGGGTTAAGCTTTTAACATAGGCCATTAATAGCTTGCCATATCACATGCTCCTTAAAGCCAGAGATTCAGGATATCTAATTACTTCACTTAGAAAAAGAGTGATGGATGGGAATCATAACAATAAAATAGCCAGATTAAATCTATCTAGTTGACCTGATTTTAAAAGTCCCATAACACTGATTAGTTATGTCACCTTGTACTAGTCTCTTTTCTGATTATTCATCTGTACAACTGAAATAATTTCCCTCTTACATGATAATTTTCCACTAATGAATGCATTTCTACGGGCATTTATTAATAACTTTATGTTTTTTGTGGTTACTATTACAAAATGAAATTTTGCAGCCGCGGTGTTGAATGTACTAAACAGAAAAAAGATCCTGTGAAGAAATCACATAGAATTATGATGTTCTGAATGACCATACACTTCTCTTACAGGAAATTTGGCTAGTCTCAAGAGAACTAACATAATTTGAATGTAAATATGAAAATATTTGTTTCAACCATTGGTTTGATGGAATTGGTCTAGTAATACACTAATATTTCTTTTGATTTAATAATTCAACGATTACCTATCAATTAATGGATGCTTTCCCTGTTGCATTTCTACCCACTTCAAACAATTAGGATCAATTAATGACACTCACCTTGATTTAAAGGAATAAGATAGACATGAGTGGCCTGGGGAAAACATGCCTAAAAATCCTTGAGTTGGAACATCCTGAAACAGAAAGGTGATTGCCTTTCCTATGCAGCATATGGGAAACTGGAAAACTGCAATATTTCCGGATGGATAACTTTGAATTAGGTCAAGTAATAGGACACATGAAAATGATGTTTACTTAGCTATTCATTCAGAGAGTATGGAAAATTCTTGGGCCCTTTGAAGTTGCAAGGTGATACTATCCTCAATATGAGTCTAATAAAATAATGTGAGAGGATTAAAAAAAAAAGTTTAAATAACACTGTGCTACAGATCTTCCTCAAGGGCAATCCTTGGATGACTTCCTGCTGAACTTCCCACATTGGGCATGTTCAGTCACAGGGGACAATGAATGTAACTGACACCCGTTAATATTTCAGATCAAATGTGGTGATACAGTTTCTTCATAGCTTGGAATTATTTCATAATGCTTGGAGGAGAGACCCATATATTGAACTTTTCCTGCAGTTGCCCCTGTGTTTGTGGTGCTCAGAAATCATCTGAAGGAAGCACGGAAGAGACTTAGTTTGCAAGGAGAAAGTTAAGAATTGGGAACTTCTCTGCATCAGCAAAAACTTTTTCATGCAACCTTGATGCAATCACGTTCGTGGGTAACTTCCAGTTATCACCCCATGCCCTAAGACTATTGTACCTACCTACATGCTGAACTTGGTCAACCTACAAGTAGTGAAATCTTTTCCAGTTTACAGCATAATACTTTCTAATGGAGCTCTGAATGGTTCATCCTGTCCTACAGCCTGCCTGAGAGACTATTTCCCTCTCACATTTTCATAACCCATGCCATCACAGCAAATGAATCTATTAGCTAAAATAATGAACTCTTAACAAAGGGGTTATAAAGGCTTTCCATCCAGGCCTTTGTTTAAATCACATTGTTAAAAGAGAAAGAGTCATTTGAGCCATCATAGTGATATGAAAAATAATGTGCTGCCTTTTTAAAATTCCTAGTTTAGTGGCAAGATCAAATGCAGCATATTCTTCTGTGAAATAGTTCCAAATAAGCCATAGCCAAGTGGATGTCAAGGAAATTAAAAAGGGGGAAGAAGGGAGAGGGAGAAGGCAAAAGATTTGTAGAATTTAATTCTACACTCATGTTGTGTGAAATGGAATGGATAATATTCAGTCATGGGAGTGCCAGCACAGACTCACAGTTTGTTCCAACATCCCCTTTAAGATTGAACTACACATGGCTTTAGTGGCACTAATAACTATCACTTTCTTGAGTTTGGAAAATTAAATTCCAAGTAGTTACAAGGGTGGTGGTAAGATTGGGTTACTAGATTCGGATGGTAAAAGTTGAGATGACCACCAACTCTTCCTCTCCGGTCCTGGGACACTATCTTCCAGGTCCATTCTGCTTTTGAAGCAGGAAAATTGGGTCCTTTTGATTTTGACTTTACTCTGGACTGAGCAGCTGTCTCTCCTCACTTCTTCCATTGCTTCACCACATTTGGTACAGGGGTGAAATTCAGCAGGTTCTGACAAGTTCTGGAGAACCGGTAGCAGAAATTTTGAGTAGTTCAGAGAACCGGCAAATACTACATCTGGCTGGCCCCAAAATGGGGTGGAAATGGAGATTTTGCAATATCCTTCCCCCAGGAGTGGGGAGGGAATGGGGATTTTGCAGTATCCTTCTCCTGGAGTGGGGTGGGAATAGAGATTTTGCAGTATCCTTCCCCTGCTATGCCCACCAAGCCACGCCCACCAAGCCACACCCACAGAACTGGTAGTAAAAAAAGTTGAATTTCACCACTGATTTGATAACATATTCATAAAAGAAGTGCGGAGCCAACTTTTTCATCAGGAGGTCTCTGACCTCAGGGGGTTGAATCATTCAATCAGTTCCTTCAACCAATACCTGAGGAAGAGGCAGACAGGGACTATTAGGGTGTAATTAAGAGTAAGAATCCTCTTAATTGCATAGCATGCACACCTCTGGGCAGATGTTTGGCTTTGATGCTCTTTCAGAAGTATTAAAGTTTTGAAAAATAGAACAGTTCTAAGTGTACTGATTCTATTGGAGAAATAAATCCAGGTGATCTGGTACAATTTAGATAAGATGCATACCAGTATCTTTCAAGAAAGTTTGGTCATGGCTAACCCATATATCAGGAGTGAGAGTCAAGTGAAACTGATTTAGGATTGCTCCAATGTCATGTACTTTTCAATGATAGATATTTGAAGCATCTCATCGTAGTAGAGCAGTTATGACTAGGCCACAACCTCAGAACAAGGTGAGAAGTTCTTATTCAATGAAGGCTTTGAAATAGCAGCACTCAAATGCCTGGAAGTCACATAAAGGTGGCAGCTAGACCAAGAGAACAAATGGATGAGTGAGCAGCTGTTCACATGCCCTCAATACTGCATACTTCTAACAGGTTTTAGTAAGTGTAACAATAACCCACCAATTTGCTTCCTGGCAAAATAAGGATACTAAATCAGAGATGTTCCATCAGGAATGGAAAAGAATAACTTTTTCAGTTTTGAACGTCTGATTTCAGAGGTTAATTGAGATAGGGAAGCTCTTTTCAAGGCCTGAGATGGTGACTTGTGCACAGTTGGATAATTCTTCAGTATTAGGGGTCTCACATGGCACTTTGCTATGGCTACAGACTTCTCATGTTCTCTAAAAGGAAAAGAAACAATGGCACCACTTCATGTTAGATATAGTACGGAGGAGTAAGAATCAGAACTTCAAATAACACCATACTGAGCAAGCTAAGAGTTTTGAGGGTATTTTGTTTAACAACAACAACAACAACCACAAAAGCACTCCGACTCTAGAGATTAGCTCTGGCAGAGAGCTAGAATCCGAGCTTTTTAGGAAATTAAATCATATACCTTCCTTTGCACAGAGCCAGATGCAAAAGACAAATTGTGATACAGGGACATGCGTGTAGTATCTCTTGGAAACACTTTAAAACAGCAGTGCATTTTTCTCCATTTGCATCACTGTACTTTATAGCTGATGCACAATTTTGGGGAAAGATGGATTGGTTTAAGGTGTTCCTGAAGGATGCTGTATGCACGCTCCACATGATCCAAATCTTCTTTTGTCCTTTCAATTTGGATCACTACACGATGTTATTATTTACATGTCTAAGGCCCAAGCTATAATCCTATGACAATTAATAGACTTTAAAGACAGATATGAAAGCTGCTTGCATAATTACATACGTAAGTTAAACTGACGCTATGTGTCAGTACAAAAAGGCAAAGAAAAGAAAGAGCATTTGTTACTTGATCAGAAACTGAAAATATAAAATAATAACTCCAATACTATTATTTTTTTATTTTGACAGTCATAGAAAACGGAGATTAAGTAGAAATTCTCTCCCAACACACACACAGTTCCCAGAGCAATAAACTGTAATTAGCAAATTGTGATAGTAATTGGAAAGAGATAGAAGGCATTTCCATATCGCATCATTTCTATTCCCCAATCCTTTGGAAACAAGTCAGAAGCATCTGGGATCAATTCATTTCTGCACATCTCAAAATTGAAAGGTGAGCCAATCGATACTAGCCCCCTACTAGGACTTGTAATTCCTTATTATTTGTATTTAAAAGCCCCTGTAAACTGGGACAATAACAGAATAGCATGCTGTCAATGTTGCAACCCAATGCTTTTCTTAGTATCTTTTCCTAATGGTTGCATGGTAGGTGATGGTTAGAAAGGGAGAAATCACTCTAGATCAGTGGTTGAAATCTGAACCGGTTTACTACCAGTTTGCTGGCCGCGCATGCACACAGTGTGCCAAAAGGAATCTTGAGTTGGTAGAACTTGAACTTTTATTACCGGTTCGCCCGAACCACTAGTTTTTATTACTACCAGTTTGCCCAAACCAGAGAGAACCAGTAACATTTCACCTGTGCTCTAGATCAATATTTGAGGGATTGGGACCACAACTCAGCAGATTGCAGAGGCCCTTGGAAATTTCATAGCAATTATTGCGACAGGTTCAGGGTAGAAATGATAGGAAGAAGCCTCTGAGGGGCAAACTAATGTGTTCTTTGAACAACTGGAAGTTTTTAAACGACTCGAACTCCCATTTTTTTGCAGACCCTTATATAGAACTTCAAGATGTTTTAACAGTTGGAATAAGGTATGAGGTATTTCTGAGAGAAAAATTGCTCCCGCTTCTCCCCCTAAACTTTTCATCTGCCCCAAAAAGGCCCCAAAGTTCCATTTTAGATTGATTTGGGACTGCAGGTATGCATTTACTACTACAATCAAGTATATTTTCTTCTGTGTTTAGGGGAGATAAGTATGAGAATTTGACAGTTCACCTCTCAGAGGCTTTGCACTCTGTTCACACATCAATCATTTCTGCAAAATGTCAAAACAACAGCCAAAGTTAAGATGAAAAAGGATTTTTTTAAAAAAATGTTCTTTAGAGATAGCCACCTGCTCCCATCCCACCCTCATTTTGGAATTTATCTCTTATGTTGACCAAATTAATTGCCCATTTTTCAGGGCTGGGAGAATACATGCAGGCCACAGATGCCTCAGTCCTGTTCTAAGCCCTAATCTTGCAGAAAAAGAACTATCAAACAAGATGTAGACATTTTTCCGGATACAGTACAGTGTCAGTAATAATCCTCATCACCCCTGTACCTAAAAGAATGAGAAACGAAATCACTATCACCTACATATATTTGAAAATGTCAGTACTTATTGATGTTTTTGACTTTTAAAAACATATTTCAACACATAGATATTTGACCTACATCTTAACAACAATGATAGATAAAGGGGATATAATATAATAAACATCATGCACCATTTACTTTTGTGGTCCACTGTGTAATTTAAATAAATGTAAGTACAACTTTTTTATGTGGAAAAAGTGCATTCATACATTGAATTTTACCTGAAGTAGTTAAAATTAAGAATCAGGGGCAAATGATTAGCAATAAAATTTAGACTTACATACAACTTCACAGTGCTTTCCAGCCCTCTCTAAGTGGTTTACAGAGTCAGTATATTTCCCCCAACAATCTTAGTCCTCATTTTACCAACTTTGGAAGGATGGAAGGTTGAGCCAACCTTGAGCCTGGTGAAATTCGAACTGCCAAATTGCAGATAGCCGGCAGTCAGCAAAAGAAGCCTGCAGTACTGCATTCTAACCATTGCGCCATCACAACATTCTCATTAGAATGTCATTTCTAAGGAAGTGGGAAGAAACCATCTTACTGAAACTTCAAACATTTGGTTTGCTCCAGATTGAACAAGTCAATATAAATGCACAAATATTTGTAAGCATATCTGCAAGAAAGCAGCCTTACTTGTTTCTTTGTCTCATACTAACAGGGATCCTCTCTACTCCAGGCCACTCATGCTCCATGGAATACATTGCTTTATCATATAATATATAAGATACAAATGCTGCAACCTGTTGATGGGCTGTGTGATTTGCCCACATGTTCTTTCACTGTTTCCCTCTAAGCATCTCTTTGCCTTCAGATATGTTACGTATCCCAATTGGCATTTCCATATTGCTTATGGACAGTGCATACTGTGTCAGTTTAGATACCAAATTATTATAGAACTGAAGCATTTCTATGAGACTGCAATATGTGAAAGCTGCTGGTGCTTATTTGTTGTAGAAATAATGCATTTTCTTTCCTAATTGTTTGAAAAAGCTCACATTTGACGGCATAGTTCACGGAGCTTCTCCCTTGCTTCAGGACATGGATCAAATCTGTCAGATAAAATGGAGTCCTTGTCTTGACCAGTGGTGCTGCCACCCCCTTTGATTTTAAGCAGACCTATAAAAACATATTGAGAAATACAGATTTTTTTTAAACCCTCCTCAAAGTTATTCTCTAAACTAAGTTTTCCCAACCTTGGCAACTTTAAGAAGTGTGGATTTCTTGCTGTTTCGGGAAATCTGGGAATTGAAGTCCACTGCTCCTATAGTTACCAAAGCTGAGAAACGTTGCTTTAAACATATCATAAAAACATATTGTGACCAAATACTTTTTTCTTTCAAACCTTTATCAGATTTAATTTAGTAACTAAACATATTCTAAAAAGAGTTGGGGGGGGGGGACGGATAACAGAATTAACAGGGTTTGTTGTGCTCATTGTTTATTATTCTATATAGTTTATTAAGACTTTAATCCATCTGTAAAATAATATTTAGTAATTTTTCAGGTTAACCTGTGTCTGCTGAAGATGTTCATGAGGTCATATGCAGAGGATTCAGCAATGTCAACGTGTCAGGTAACTTCAGGCAATCAATGCACTCTTTTTAATGTTCTTGCAATGCTTGTTACTTGCGCCTGCTAGTTTGATGCTGTTGATCCCTTTCCTAATGGATCCCACTGAGTATTTTGTCCTTAGCAGTGTTATTTGGGAACTGGTGAAGTCTTCCCCAAAGCCTTTGACCCTAAAAATTATTTGTGCTTTTCTAACTTTCTGGATAATGTTAATACTTCCCTTTTTGGGGCCCTTTTCTATTTACAACCCTGCTGGTACAAACTCACTAAGTATGCTGTTTCAAAGAATAGCTGGTATTAATGATGACATGATAGCTGCCAGGCTCCAAAAAACCCAAGACAGACATGCTGAGTTTCTTCTAAGCAGTTTCCTTTATTGTTCTTCACCTACAGACAGAAATCTTGTCAAATTAAAGCGAACTACTTTCAACATTAAAAATATACTCTGCAAACATCTGGGGAGGAACTATCTTGATCTTCTTCCTCCCAACCAAACTATCTAAATTTCACTGTCTCTTGCTCCTCCCTCCTGGGAATCCAGACCACGTTCCATCACAACAGCAGTCAAATGCTTTCTCTCTGCCCATTGATCTTGAATACATATAAAAATGGCATTTGGATATCTCTCCTGAATCTCTCTTATTTTACCTCTTCCCATTGGAATACCATGCTGTATTTCCATTCAGCACTCTTTGCAATGGTCCTTACCTGAGCTCTTCTGTGGTTTGACCTCTTTGAATGACAATGAAAAGCAAAGGCAGGATAATGACATTTGCTGTATGAGTTGGGTAGTGGAAGTTATAGGAATTGCTGGCCCCATTGGAGCTGCACCTCGCCCTCCTGTAGGCAGAAAAGATACTGTGGAGTTCATGTCATTATTGCAAAATACATTATTTTTGAAATAAAAAGTGTGCTCTGGTACCATTGCTATTAATGAAAAAAGAAAGAAAATCCAGAAAACAAAGCGTTTGATTCCTAAATTCATAGGAACACTTCAAGAAATCTAAATTTTATGTAGATATGTGGTTAAAGTAGGAAACCAGATTAGTCAGAATGGCATTGATCCTGGTTATTTATTTTCTGGGGGTATGCCCTCAAACATTTCCTTATATTAAACAAAGATTATGAGATAATTCAGTTCAGGAATTAATGACAAAAGCCAAAGTTCTGTGTTTACGTGTAATTTTAGAATTAATTACACATATACCTTTCAGCTCCCTAAATAATTTCATCATCACCATCATTTTAGTCATTATCTATGCCCTGCAGGATGAAGGCCTCTTCCAAGTGTTTCCAACCCATATGGTCCCAAGCTTTCTTTTGCCAATTGGGCCCGCAATACAGAATATTGACTGCTTCCTAATATGATTTGATTGCTTATTTGTACCATATGACTATCATTAAGTGTTGTACCTTATGATTCTTGATGAATGTATCTTTTCTTTTATGCACACTAAGAGTGTATGCACCAAAACAAATTCCTTGTGTGTCCTATCACACTTGGCCAATAAAGAATTCTATTCTATTCTATTCTATTCTATTCTATTCTATTCTATTCTATTCTATGAGAGCTAGTTTGGTGCAGTGGTTAAGGAAGCAGGCTAAAAATTGGGAGATTATGAGTTCTAGTCCTGCTCTAGTCTTGTTTTAGGCATGAAGCCAGCTAGGTGGCCTTGGGCCAGTCAGTTCCTCTCAGCTCTAGGAAAAAGGCAATGGTAAATCACTTCTGCAAAACCTTGCTAAGAAAACTGCAAGGACTTGTCCAGACGGTCTCTGAGAATTGGACACACTTGAATGGAAAAAACAAAACAAAACAGAACAGCCTTTTCAAAAGCCAAATTATATGCGTTGCCATAATTAAATGTGTTCCTCCTAAAAATCTGCTAATGGATTCTATTCCCCAGAGCCAGATAATGTATGAGTTCCCTTAACAGTCTTTTAAGATTTTAGGCATTACTGTGGTGCTAACTTTGCTATGATAGCAAAATGACTTTTGGTACAATATTTACTCCGAAATAGCTCCCATTGGAGCTTACCTTTAAGTAAGGGAATAAAAGAAAGCTTGCAATCTTAAGGTTATACTTACAGTCCCACACTTGGGTGTATTTTCCACTGAATTCAATGAGATTTATTTCTCAGTAGATACATATAGAGTGGCCTAGTCAGGTTACAATTCTAGGCATAATTAAATGGAAGTGTGCCACTGATGTTGCAGTGATTTTTCTGAAAATACAGCCACGGGACTGCCCTTCAGGATAGCACATTTTTGTATGTGAAAGTTTAGTTCATATATTTTCAAAATTATCCTCTCTCATACAAAAGAATCATGGGTATTTTCAGAACCTGAGAAGTATGCTTTTGGTGTTCGATGCTCTATGAGCTATTTGACTCTGGTGTAGAAATAATCTTTGAACTGAAATCTGAATTTTCAACTAAATTAGAGGGGAGTTGGATACCATCTTGCCCAACTCATATTTGGTGTAAAAGAACTGAAATCTTTAGTATTTAAGGAGAAAGCTTCCTAACTTCTGCTTGAAGGTATTCCACTGAAAAGTGATACTATTATTCTAGAGCAAAAATCCAGATCCAAGGTTAGCAGAATGAGAAACAGAACCAATGTAAAGAAAATACAATAGGGGAAAGAAAACATATGGGAGTAAGTAATAAGAAGAAGTTAGGTAGACATACGCTCATTAGGTATGGAATTTAAAACAGAGTAACTAACTTTTTCAAATGGTCAGAGTAACGTGGCACACCACATTACCAGGGCAATCCTGCAAAATCAGTCTGTGACATGGCTTATTTTTAATTTTATGCAGTTGTTCCATTTATGAATAATTTTTCACCTCATTGCACCTTTGGTATTCATGATAAGCTCCAGTTTTAATGACAAGGCAGAAGAACGAAAACGTAAGGAGAAGAGACTGAAGCTACGGATGGACTTGAATAAATGTGTATTGTTGTGCTGTATGTGGGTCCATGTGTGTTCGTGCATGATAAAAGAGCCGTGGTGGCGCAGCAGACTAAGTAGCACTTAGCTGCCAGCTGCCTGCAATTATTGCAAGTTCAAATCTCACCAGGCTCAAGGTTGACTCAGCCTTCCATCCTTCCGAGGTAGGTAAAATGAGGACCCGGATTGTGGGGGCAATAAGCTGACTTTGTATAAAAAAGAACACCACTTAGGGGGGACCGAAAGCCCTACTAAACAGGTATATACAAAAGTATGAAGGCTATTGCTTAACTCATTGTAAGCCGCCCTGAGTCTCCAGAGAAGGGCGGCATATAAATCAAATAAATAAATAAATAAATAAATAAATAAATAAATAAATAATTCAGGCTACAATTGGATAAATCCATTAGACATGAAGAGATTTAGCCTTATATGACATACCTAACAAAAATAATTGAACCAGAGAGCATGCATGAAGGATGGGGAGAGCAGGGGCCTGTGGTGGCGGGGGGGGGGGGGGGGAAATCCACACATAATTCCCTCATGTTAATCCTCCAAGTGTCTTCCTTTTTTAGGTATTATGACTGTCTGATAGTCACACATAAACCGTGGCTTGCTTTTAACTACCTCTTTAAAGCTATCTGCTACAGGGCAGCCAAAGTGAATTGCCTGTCTCTGAATTTATTTTAAAAGTGGGAAAAGAATTATTCTGCTTAGAACTGTAGTGACACCGAGGGAGGTGAGGATTAACCTTCCCCTTCCAGAGCATTCCGAACTGCATTTACTGCATTTGAAAGCGCTCCAAGGAAATGCTCCAAATTATCTTGTCTTTTCTCATTATCTAGGCCCTGGCAAATCCATTACACATTACTAGTGTTTATGTGAAGGATCATTAAAATGTCACCCCTCCTCAGCAGTGAGACAATATAGCCCATTTCCTCTGTAGAGTATTTTGTAACCTCATTTTGCACAATGTGCATCATTGTGAGTCTTTATTATCAATCTGGGTTCCTGCATCACTAGAGTTTAGCGTTCGGAAGAGCATAGCAAAGCTGGGAGGGCAAGAAGTTTTAAACCTGATGACAATAACAAGCTAACTGCACCTTCTACTCAGTTAAAGAATCAGAAGTCTTCTGGAAATTTTGAGAGATATCTTGGTACCATTTGTTCTATTCATTTCCAATTTGACCCACGTCTCAAGTTTCTAGAAAGGAAAGTACACAAACTACAACAGGAATAGCAGATGATAATTTCCAGGGATCCAAATGCATGGTGAGTCCATTTCTTCTCTGACCTTTCCTTCTGGGTTCTTTCATAAGCTCCACTGCTTCTTCCCGGGATTTGGGACTTAGCTGTTGACCACTTTCCAGGAATCGTTTTGCAATCTCATCAGCGTTGGGACCTAAGAATGAAACAATGACCATATATTCCAGTGATAATTCAGATCTACAAACAGAACTTACACAGAAAAGCATAATCAGCACAATGAAAGCTAGTTTGGTGTAGTGGTGAAGGTGCTGGCCAAAAAACCAGGAGCTGACTGAATTCTAGGCCTCCCATAAGCATGAAAGCTGGCTGACTGACTTTGGGCCAGTCATTCTCTCTCAGCCCAAACTGACAATTTTCCTGGGGAAAAGAGGAGGTGGTGTGTGTGTGTGTGTGTGTGTGTGTGTGTATATATATATATTGCTCCTAGAAGCACAAAGCCATCCTGAAGATGACGAATGAGACTTCGTCAAAA